CCATATTTCTGATAATGGTGTATAAAGATATATATATATATATATATATATATATAATTCACGACAAAAACATTTTCATGGAGATTTATAGTATAGCACAAAATATATGTCAAAAGACAATGCTATTATAATAGTTCACAAATACACACATTTATGAAATCTATGAAACTAGGCCTTAAGTCACATACATGCTAAAAACTGCTCTCACCTATATATACTATCACAATATTTTGAAGCATTAACCACACAATCCTAGCAACTGTTAAATATCAGCTTATACGTAGAAACAGAAGTGTTTTAGAACTTGCTTTCATATCAGATTCGTTCTCAATTCCACTAGTAAAGGAAAACAATAACAAAAAAGGATGATATGAATTAGTGTGGCTGACTGGAAATAAATACATTTTTCACAAAAAAAGGTAAAGCAATATTCCACATGGAGTGAATCTGTTATTTTGTCAACAATTTTGAAGTAGAGATTCTTCGTGAATAACTCAATACTCTCAAGTTTTAGTACAAAATCAGAATAAAATTCATACACAAAGAGTAAAGCATTGATGGAAATTAATAAGAATAGGGTTTTAATACATTTGTATCAACTTAAAGAACAGGAAATTTAGATAGAGCATAAAGAAACGTTTTTCATCTGTCATCAGATACGACAAGTATATTTGCACACCTCCATATCATTATTAATTCACATTTGAACTGAACTAAACCACCAATTCATTATATTAAGTCAGTAGGCTTAGCACTGTTTATTACTCTAAAATCATCATTAAATCTTCTACAATGAACTTCATTAAGTACAGCTCATTCCACTATTTTGGTACTTGAATACTGAGGGATGCTTTAGAACTTCAACAGTGTCATAGCTGATCACATTTGTCTAAAATACGTGCACAAAATCAGTTTTAATGCTACATTACATACAATCATGGACGTGCATAAAATCAGTTTTAATGCTACATTACGTACAATCATGGTTCCACTTGGTGATAAAGCATCTGTAGTTTTACTTAGAAGAGAAAATGTCAGGGTTAATATTATTGCATGTGAAGTACAAGGCAGAGTTCTTACTTATAACATCTTAGCTCATTCTTCATACACTTCTCACACTCACTCAGTGAACCAATCAGAAGTTACTTCTAGATTCTCACACTAAGTAAACTTCTGACAAGTATTATCTAACTTCCAAGACTTCATCAACCAATCAGAAGTTATTCTAGTTTCTCAAACTAAGTAAACTACTGACAAGTATTATATAACTTCCAAGACTTAGTCAACCAATCAGAAGTTACTTCTAGATTTTCAAACTAAGTAAACTATTGACAAGTATTACCTAACTTCCAAGACTTAGTCAACCAATCAGAAGTTATTCTAGATTCTCAAACTAAGTAAACTACTGACAAGTATTATCTAACTTCCAAGACTTGGTCAACCAATTGGAAGTTACTTCTAGATTCTCAAACTAAGTAAACTGCTGACAAGTACTATCTAACTTCTAAGATGTAGTCAACCAATCAGAAGTTACTTCTAGATTTTCAAACTAAGTAAACTATTGACAAGTATTATATAACTTCCAAGACTTAGTCAACCAATTGGAAGTTACTTCTAGATTCTCAAACTAAGTAAACTGGTAAACTACTGACAAATATTATTTAACTTCTCAGACAAATCAGTCAACTAATTAGATAATAATTATGAATTTAGCTATACAAGTTATTTTAGATTCACTCACTGAATTAATCACTACATTTAAAATTAAAATAAAAAGATCTTTTGGGAAAATTGTATTAATTTCCTAAATAAAAAATTTTCAAATCCTTCGATTTGATACAAGAATATCTTTGTATTTTGTAAAATTGAAAAACAAAAGAACAAGAATAGATTAACAGATAAGATAACCTTTAAATAAACATTTTCAATAGCCATCTTGGCTTTTCAAAGGGTTCAGTGACTGGCTATGAAGAAAGATACAAGTTTCATGTTCAAGCAAATTAGAGATAATCAAGAGTTTTGATTTTCGTATGGTTAAGTTATTATGTCCAGTTATTTTATAAAACCTTTTAAAGTGATTGTCCTTTTATCCAGCACATTTTTGTGATATTCTATGCTTTGTCATACATATATAATGTGATTGGTAACATTAGTTATGTTGAATGAAAATCATAAATGCATCTTAGTTCCACACAATCAAAAATCATAACATCTTTCAATATGAAGAACACTATTAGTTTCAACTAAAACCAATAATGAACAATTGTTATGTATTTCAAAAAAAGTGAAGGTATGAACAGACAAAGGTTTAATTGCCATGTTTAAAGCAAGCAGGATTTCTTCATTAAAACAAAGAGATACTGTAATCAAAGAAATGAGAAAATGTTTCCTTATATATGTCAACACCATCTTCAACAGTTAAACTGTCTCCATAGCAGAGTCACTAAAAAACAAATGAACACCTCAGTTACCTCAGTCTTTTAGTGTTAAAAGGTAATGGCTTAACTTAGGTTGTTAAGCAATTATACTTAAAAAAAGTACATTTATTAGTTAAGGTAATTATTATCTTACTAACAAAAAAAGGCCAATGAAGCTGCAAACTAGCCACCGTAATATTACAGGTTATTTTCACTCAAATCTTCTGCAGACACCAATACTTCCAAACCTCTGGTTAATTTAAGCACACCATTTCCAATAAACTAAATATATGAAAATTTTGTTTCACTTTCTGAACATAATAAAAAATAAAATGAATTACTAAGACTAATCACAAATAAACATAAAATGTATTAAGTATGTACAATTAGACGTATAGCAACAAACACACCAACAAGTAAATACATGTTCATCCATCATCACTTTGTTGCATGTAAAAACGAAACAACTGAGAAGTTTAATAAATATTTGTAAGTGGAAGTGTTTACTTATTATAATTAATCAAGAAAGCAAAACCAGAATAAAAATGCTACATCATCCATTAATCCTCACAGTTCAAAGAATCTTGTGTTGATATACCTTTTAAAATGATGACATAAGCAAGGTTATTCTAAGCACAAAAGAAACTTAAGTGTAAGATATTTTAGTATTTTTACAAGTGAGTGAGAAAGATTACATTAATACTAAGAAGAACCCAACAGTTCATTTTCTAACGTCACAAAAAAAGAGTAACATAAATTTCATTAATGTATAAAAGTTTAATAAATGTAAAAAATTAACAAATGATTATTTAAACCTAAAAATGCATATCTGACAACTTAAGTCAAGAAGGATTAAAATTTTATTCAGAAATAATTATCTGTTAAGTAAAGTAAATTCAACTGTAATTTTCTTTTGTCAAATAGAAGGGATGTTTAGATATTCTTGAATGTATGACAATTTTTTCAAAAATACAATCTAATGAGTCATCCCTTAATTTACATGCTAATACAGCATTAGAAAATTGATTAAAAAATTTTAATATCCAGACATTAATCTCCAAACTGAAGTACGTAAAAATACGGTGCAACTGCAGGCTATTATATAATACACCAAAAAATATGGAGAATTATTAATTTATAAACCCAAACTTTCTTAATGCTGTCTCTTGAAGGACAGATACAAGATAAGTATCATGTTCGCAAGGTAGACGATGTTAATTTTCCATCAAGAAACTGAGACACAAAGGTTTGAACCACACTGGCGGTGATTTCCTGGTCATCTTCTAGGACGTACTTTTTACCTTCTGGAATGTTGGTGATGACAAGTTGAGGAACCTGGTCACCTAGCTGAGCAAACTCACGGAGAGATTCACAAATATCAGCCTAGATGATAGGAATAAAATGTTTTCTACATAACTGTCTTGTACATGCATTAAATCAGCTCCAACCTAAAACAATGAAACATTATAGTTTATGCACTGAAAGTTTCTTGTTTACTTACAATAAAATAGCAAACATTTGAAAAAATTAACAATAATTAACTGAATTAACCTGTTAAAATGGATGTGCATCCACGAATGAAAGAATGTACCATTAAAATAAGACATTATGTAAGATATGGGTAAGACATTACGATTTTTATCAACACACTCACATCTCCACCATAAAAGAATTTCAAGTTAGAAGTTTGGCCCGAGTTCCGAGCTCCGTTCTCATTAGAAGCATATTCCTCAGCAGCAGGTAGCATAAGCTGATATGCAGCCTCCAGGTCACTCTCCTCTCCTTCTGTAAAATATTGACAGCTTTATTTCAGCAGCCACTTCTTTCCTTCTGCTAACTATTTTACTGCAGGAAAACTCTACTTCTATTAACTCTGTTTTTTTAGTTCTCATTACATATTTCATCTATAAATACAGCATGTCACAATCTTTACAGAAAATCATAATTATACAACATTTTCTGCATATATCACGACCTTACATATAAACATGATCGTGTAACATGTATACTATACACTTACCCAAATATTATATCCTTACCAGTAAACATGATAACACATGGTCCTTCATTCAGACGTGATGCATGTTTCTCTGTCAACTCTTCAACTGGTTTTGGTCTCCAAGGAAATTCCTGGGCAATATCAAATTTACATCCATGATTATATATCTTACATTCTCACTCACTCTTGTCGTACCATTGTGTCTAATAAATTGATGCATGACAAATAAAAAAGTAACTTAAGATTTTGTAGCTGTTATGATTCTAATGACCTTTTACCTTCATTCAGAATGTGTTTTGATAATACATTTAAGAATTATAAAGACAACTTCATGAAAACAAACAAAAATGGATATCCGTAAAATAATTTTGATAAACCACATGTGGAAGTCTAACAAACTGGTAGTCATATGTGACTCTATGACAACAGCAATTTCTTAAAAACTTTGGCTAAATGCAAAAAAAAAATCTGAATCTTAGTATTTATTTAATCTCACAAGAAACATATTGTGAAGATCTTTTATCCTGAACACATTTCAACAAACAATGCAGAACATATTGTGAAAATCTTTTATCCTGAACACATTTCAACAAACAATGCAGAACACATTGTGAAAATCTTTTATCCAGAACACATTTCAACATACAATGCAGAACACATT